TGGAAAATGGGTATGGGCTAACTCCGCCCATCAGCAATTCGCGCATTCCATATTCACCTATTCGCCAGATTGATGAAAGTACTTGGCGTTTCTCTTCAATAAGCGTATTTTCCCCATTCGCGGGCTCGCTCACAAACTATGAACGAAACGATTAGCGTTGTTTAGACCTCGTTCTCATACACCACGTTCTAACCTTGCACCTACTGAGGCTTGACGATTCCGCAAAAAGAGCTTGATTTGTATTGATCCTGCGGTCTGGCCAATCGCTGTTCAGCGAGTTTTTTCTTCCGTCTGTGTGGTGGCGAGTGTCTCTTACCGATTTTGTGTTCGGACGGAGTCGATGAAATCCGTAGGCACAATTTTGTTCGGACGGATGCCGGGGCGTGGCAGGCGCCTAGGTTTGACACAGTTCCAGCCTGTTCCCAACCTTTTGTCGGTTGCCCCTTCCACATCTGGTGGAGAACAGGTCGGTTGCCAAATCCGGCTTTTTGACACACCCCAGCTTCTGGAGCGAACAAGGCTGTATCTTTCTCGTCTTTTTCGCGCGTTATACTTCGTCAGGCGCAAGATATGAACGCGGCCTTACTACGCATGGACCGCATTCCTTCATCAGATAATTGATTTCCGTTTTTTTTTCATATGAGCGAGAAAAGAACGTGATTGGCGCTTGACAGTTCCGTAATTAATTAGGGTCGGTAGTTATATCCCTCTAACAATTATTTCAAGCAAACTAAACAAGAGGACAGTTCTCGATTTCAGACTGTGTTGGCTTTTGGAGGGAGCCAAGCTCCTTCCGATTTTGTAAACGGTGTATCTGCATGTGACGAGAGCATTGTACGGACGTTAGGACATAATATCGTTTATCTAGCGTAAGTTGTTCGATGCTTTCGTGCTGACTAGGTTTGGTCAAACAATCATTGCCTTTCAGCATTTCACGATTCAAGTCACGGATTGGCTTGCTGACTCCAGATCCTAAGAAAGTCGACGATGTTTTGGATTGTATCAAGGTAAACGTTCGATTAGCTATGGGAGTCGCCTCAGAATCTAGGGTTTAATTCTAGGTATCCGACGTTGTATGTTTCTTATGGCCCACAGACGGAGAGCTTAGTGATGAGGATCGTTTGCTTCTAACCATCATCAAGGCGCACGG